CACTTTTATTGTCCTTTACCATGTCTTATTTCACACCAATCCCATCATAAAAAGTAAAATTTTTGTATTTTTATTATAATCGTGGATTTTCTGATCTGCTTAGGTGTTCGGACTGATTTTCGAATGACCATGAATGCCTGAAGTCACCGTAGTTGAAATTTTACGGTCATAAAGGTTTTGTCAGCGTTTGAATTTAAACACCCGCGATAGATGAGATTTTCCACTGTATCTCTTAAGCTTTGATTATATGAGCACAACCGAAGTATTTGCCCAACACACAGGTGGACCAAAAAGATTTGGTTTGCAGGATTTGGTAGCATTTAGATTTGAATTTAATTCCAATACTATGTTTGGTTTGTAGGAAAGTTTGGATTTGAAACGGGATTTCAACTGTTTCCACAGCCAACAGATTAGAAATCCTTGGAGATGACTTTCATTTCAACCCTAAATCTCATGGATTTCGACTGTTTCCGTTGCATCTCTACCACGACTTTTTCATCAAATTTGTTGTAATCTTTCCATTCTATCTACATCTTACCGGAACAAACAGATATTTACGATAAAAAATTATTTCCGACTTCTACAAACCAAACGAGATTTATAAAAGAACAAAATTTAATTCTATTTCAAATCACAGACCAAGGACTCCAAAGTCCAAACCATCCAATGAAATCCCAAAACAGACCTTAAGAGGACGTCTGGTTTGAAGAATTTGGAATTTGAAGAATTCTGAATATTTAGTGTGTCTGGTTTGTAGGATTTGAAATGAAATTGATGTTTTTTATAAATAATTTATAAAAAATAAATTATAAGCGATTATAAAAATAATTAAATTACATTTTTATTAATTGATTATTATAAAACAAATGTTTTCAACATTTTAAAACATTATTATACGCAAAATTCTACGAATCCAACGAAATACCAACCACCCCTATGGGATTCTATGATTGTGGGAATTCAATGAAATCTCGTGATTTCAAATAAATGATATTATAATGAAACTGAATTCCAAATTCTATCCAATCCTACAAATCAAACGGGACATAAAACATTTTGTTCGACTTTTAGGTACTATCAAGAATCATTGTAATCTAAATGTATGTGATTCAACTTTTAGAACTTGGTAACCACAATGGTGGTGCTTGATTGGTTTGAGTTTGGCTTCAAATGTCAAAAGTATCAGGAGATCACATGTTCAAATCCAATGAGGAATAAAAATTCTCTTGTGGCCACGGAGGTTCAAATGCGGTGACTCCGGACAATCTACAAAACAAGTGGTCGTTCTGGGATTATTCGGCTCGCATAGCGAGTTGGATATCCAGGTTAATATAAAAAAAAAAAAACTTTTAGAACTTGGTCGATAAACTTTGGGTATTGGCCTATTAGGTATTAAACAAGATATCTCATGGTTAGTAGGCTATTGGGCTAAATAAATGTGCCAAACAGTTGGGCCTATAGCTATATTAAAGCTTTTCGTAATTTTATACGGCCCATTTACAAGACACTTTGCTTTACCATGAATCTCATTTTAACCATATAGAATATAGATTGCAGCGTACTCACTTCCGGTGTAACATTTTGCGACGCCGCCAAATTGTCCTATAAGACCATTTTCAACAGATATCGTAAAATAGAGATTTTGAAGATTATTTTGTTTCAAACAAATACTTTATAACGTTCTTTCGAATATAAAAAAGGACGAGAGAAAGACCACATATGTCCAAGTCTAGAGAATTCTTTGGAGATTTTTTTTTATTAACCTGGATATCCAACGCGCTATGCGAGCCGACTAATCCCAGGACGACCACCTGCTTTGCAGATAGCCCGAAGTCACCGCATTTGAACCTCCGTGGCCACAAGGGGATTTTTATTCCTCCTTGGATTTGAACCTAAAACCTCCTGATACTTTTGACCTTTGGAGCCAAGCTTAAACCAATCAGTCACCACCTTTGTGGTTAGTTCTTTGGAGATTACTGTTCTAAGAAAACAACGATGCTTGATTATAGACAAATTGGACTTGGCCCACCGACTAACGGACCAAAAAAATATTTTGCCATGTAAAAAATATAACCTATGTAAAAAAAAGAAGTAACACCGATCATTTACAACTAAGGCTGGTTTTAGCAACCAAATTAAACATCAATATATGCCGCATAGCAAATAGATGCATAAAAATTCCCGCTGCAAAAATTGTACAATATGGGTTTAAATACAACTGCAAGAGAATGATGAATTTAGAATGTAGGTGAATCAACAAGAAAAACTTGTAGAAACAAGATATACAATACGACCATTTTACCAGCAAAATGGCATCACTATAGTTGTCCAATATGAAACAACATTGTTTCACCACCAGGGCCTTTATAAAAATAGTATTAAATATGACAATAGTTAATAATAATCATATAAACGGGTTTGTCCGAGTTTTATTTGGTATTGTCTATTTCTGTCCATTAATCTTATCAGGCATGTCCGGACCCATCACTTTTTCAAAAGTGGTTATCAAAACCCGTTTTTTATAACGGGTTGGCTATTAAGCAGCCATCATCTCCATAATAGTTCTAAACAAAGACATTCCATCAATAATTCAATTATTTTTATGGCTTTCAATTTAAAATAAAAGTGTTGTACCAAAAAGACATCTAATCCCAGTCCCACACTCAAGGCCTTCTTTGGTGCTTGGACCATGTGTGATACATTCAATCTCGTTGGTACGTAACGAGGCAAATGTTAACATGAACATCTCAATCAGTGCTAACATAGACCAAAAAGCCATTCCATTAAGGTAGCGTTTGGTAAGCAGACATGATTGAACAAAACAAAACTAGATATATCAAGTTGTCTGTCTGGTGTTTGATACAACTAGAGCTAGATAAGACATAACTAGACAAGTTGTCACAAAGAATTATTTGACGATTTTTTATATCATGTAATAGTTATAAATTAAACAAATCAAGTAAATACTTTAATTAACTAAACAACAACTGTATCTTAATAATAGAAGTAATGAATTTTCCAATCTAATAATTAAGAATAGAATTAGAAAATTAAAAAAAAACTAAAATAGAAATATATAATTTCACGGTTTTCAAAAAATAAAATTTACAAAAGATGGCAACAAATTAGGTGGTTTTGACTTTGAAAGCTTTTCATATAGGGAATCCTATGTGGACTTAACCAAGTCAAAGTAGGTCTTTTGATGCGTCCAATGTCCATGTACAAACAAAACTTCACCAATACAGAGAAGTCCCCCCACTTTCACTACCACACAATAAAGTGGCAGTGAATCACATGCTATAAAAAAGAATACATAATGCAAACCAAATAAATACGATCCTAATTTTGACTTTCTTAAACAAATTAAATGAAAATTAAGTCAACAGGGTCAATTACCATGACATGAGAAAATTTTGTAAAATAGTTATTCCAAGCTCTTTCACTCATTTTTATAGTCGTTTTTTTACTCAATCGATCGAAATAGCCAAAATTTTACAACTAGCAAAATCTAATTTATATGAATTTAACTACAAAGATGATGCCTGATTGGTTTAAACTTGACTCCAAAGGTCAAAAGTACTAGGAGGTTCCAGGTTCAAATCCAAGAAGGAATAAAAATCCCCTTATAGCCATGGAGGTTCAAATGCAATGACTCCGGGCTATCTGCAAAGCAGGTGATCATCCTAGGATTAGTCGGCTCGCATAGCGGATTGGATATCCAGGTTAATCAAAATAAATAAATATGAATTTAATATTAATAAAGTAACACTTTAACAAGTTGTTAAGTGTTATTTGCGGAATACCGATGTGGTAATTAGCACTTTAACAAATTGGATAAGTAACACTTAGCAGATTGCGTAAGTGGAATTTCCATTTCACCATTTCGTAAACAACACGAATACCGAACTATGATCGTAATAAAAAGCGGATGTCCCAGGTTGCTAAAGTGCTACTTGCAAAACCTTAGCTATTTCAATCAATTATGTAGAAAAACGGCTAGAAAGTGAACTGGGGTGTCAAAAATGACTATTTTGGAGTTCCCTAATATATGTCTTGTTTAGTAAAAAAAAGAATACCGAACTACCTTCTTAATTTGTTTAGAATTTGTCCTTTTCATTGTATTTATGTAATTCTTGTAAAGAATTGAAGTATCTTGTTGAGCAATATACAGGAAAGTGAAATGATGGCAAAAGGAGACAATCGAATATATGCTATAATGAAAGCAGAATCTGTGGATTGCATCTATAGTTGTAAAGCCAAAAAAGCAGACTATAAAAAGGCAGACCAACAACCAAAAGGAAACGGCACCCCACCTCTACTTAAATTACTAAATTTTTTTCTTGGATGTTTTGATTCCTCTCTTCTCTTTCAAATTCACAGAGCCAATTTACTAAAATACCCACCAACGAATTCCTAAAAATTGCCTAAATCACACCAGAAAAACCATTTTGAATTAACAAGAATTCCAATGTCAATGGATCAACCACCATTGACATTGCCTACAAGTTACCTTTGGTATCACAAGGTGCTTCTGAGTGGATGATAACCCGAGCTCCTGAAGCAAGCCTGTTAGGAGGAAATCAAACAAGATCTCAACCAACATGACCAAAATATATTTCCATCTTGTTTTTTATTTAATTAAGCCTAATGGGGGTATAGTTGGAAATCAGATTACAACTTAACTTTCTTCGATTTTGATCACACTCCCCTCTTCCCTGAAGGACTCCAATCTGCCGGATTGTTTCTTGGCCGAGCATGGCTCTGTCATTCTTTTGCTACTGCCATTGGAAGGACAAGGTGATACAATTCGTGAACTGGTGCCTCCCTCGGATGAGATTCTTGGTCCCTCAGAAATAGGGGATCTCATTGATTCACTTTTCGGCTGTTTACCGAGTGACGCTTTGAGGGATCTTGGTATGCACTTTGTTCGAGTTGCGGTTGCCTCCTCTTTATCTGAAATTGGATCGCTATTATTGGTCCTGCATTTCAAAATCCCACTTCTCAGAATGACATTAAAACTCTATTCATCAGGCAAAAAAGTTCAAAGATATGCCAAATGCCAGAGTATAACTGGAATACAAACCTGTCAGCATTGTAGGAAGATGATCTTTTTAGAGTAGCCACGCCTTCTTCCTTGAGCATTTTTGTTTCCACTAAACTCCCACTGAAGTATTCCTTTTCTTCTAACCTCATGCTCATAAACCTTGGGTTCTCTGGCAAGCAATCAAGCTCCCCCAGCATAACAGATGTTGAGAATAAAGGGGATGGAAATTTTGAATCTGAGAATCTTGGTTTGTAAGATGGAATTAGACCAAAGCTGTGATCTTTTACGGATATTGACCCACATGAGATCAGCTGCATCAGCATATCTGTAGCCCTGAGTTTTGCGTTGGCCGGCATTCGACCTTCTTCTAGTCTTCTAAAACTATTCAACTTACTAGCATCGGCTTTGATTAGAGACTCCAAGGTCTCGGTCTTGCCCACGGAGGAACATGCACTGGAGGAAGATGGAGGGGATGGATCTACTTGAATCTCGGAATTATCTTTAACACATAGAGCTTGGCTTTGAGGAGACTGATTGCTTAAGGATTCTAATCCTCCATCATCAGTTGAAACACCTCGTGTGCAAGTTTCTCTAGCTTTGTTAGCTCTTATATTTTCCTCTGTCTGAGTGGAAGCATCAGCAAGACCATCACTTTTGTAGATCTTGTATTCTGTCAAGCTCAGACAACCACCCGACACTGTACTTTTCCCACCTCTAGACTCTGGCGACACACCGGATGAACTAGACAGCCGAACAGGAGGAGATAGCTCCTCATCCTGAGAATGTTTAGTCTCTCTCCCGCTCATGCTTGTTGAAGAAGAAGAGTCATCTTGACTTCTTGCAGAAGGTGGTTCTGGTAACTGTTTTAGGTTCTGCAATTTTACAGGAGTGAAACGGCCTGCGAACATGTTACATTTTAAAATTTAGTGCTTTCGAAATGTATGATCAATCGACTTAAGGATGTCACCCTACTTCAGCCATTACTTCAATTATATTTCCCCAAGGGTTTCAAACCTTCAAACCAATCCGGCAGCTGCTCTTTTTCCAAAATAAAACTAAAAGCCAAAAGATTCTATTACGATGCATAAAATTGTGGGAAGCAGCAAGGATACTACCTTAATACCTTCTTTCAATGCAATAAGTCCATACTTCTTGCATATTGAAGCAGATCAGAACACAAGGTTATCATTGTTAACTACTACCTATCATTACAATATTTAAAACTTAGCATACACCAAGAAACTATTCAACCTTTTCAAGTTTACAGATATGAAGATGGTTGTTTGAAGAGCTTCAAAAGCGCAACTACAAGAGAGGTTACAAAGACATATGCACCTGAATTAGATTCTTCAACAAGCTCAGAGCCTTTAAGAACATATCCATTGCCATGAGCAGGAAGAATTAAGTCATTGTTAACTACTACTTATCATTATGATATTCAAAACTTAGCATACATCAAGAAACTATTCAACCTATTCAAGTTTACAGATGTGAAGATGGTTGTTTAAAGTGCTTCAAAAGTGCAACTACAAGAGAGGTTACAAAGACAGATGCACCTGAATTAGATTCTTCAACAAGCTCAGATCCTTTGAGAACATATTCATTGCCATGAGCAGGAAGAATTAAGTCATCTTCACAAAGATCATGCCAGACAAACCCATTTTTATAGCTCCTGCATCAGCAAGCAAACCAAGATCGACGTACATCAAACTTTTCTAGTCAGATATATGAATATGATGAGGAAAAATAAAGTCAAGATCAAATATAGAAGTTGTTAACAAGAACTAACCTCTTGCAAGACCACGAGTACATGGAAGCCATGCCCCGTCCTCTAAGAATATTGAGCTTTTCAATCACATCTGCAAGAAAATGTTTTCAGAATCAACTATGGAGGTGAAAACTTTCGTTAAACACACAATGCTGGATTCAATTGTAAGATAAAATATATACCTCTCAAAAAAAGACCGTCTGATGAAGTGAGAGGGACTTCAATAAAGTGAGGATGTTCAAGCTGTCGATTTCTACAGAGATAATAAACCACAGGCACCTTCCGACTCTTCTGCTGCAGCTCTGGCTCAGGCTCCTGCTCCTGCTCCGGATCAGGTTGCCGCTGCTGATACCTAGGAGACCTCTCCTTCCAGACTTTAGCTCTATCAGGACTCAATTGCTGATGCTGCTGCCCGTACTTCCTCACACGTCCCTCCATCAAAACCCTAGCCTGCTATACTACAGTACGCTCCACAAAAACCGCCCTTCCAAATTTCAAAAAAATTCGAAAATTATGTTTGATTAATCATCCAGGAAGCGATTTTCCGGTGCAAATTGCTACTAATTTTACAAAGTATAAAACGATCAAGTAAAACGACAATCAGATCTAACCTTAAGCTAGTTCAGAATCCATTGAACAAGTCAAAATATCAAATCAAAACGAAAAGACAACATACATCCAATCAGGAAGCCATTAATTTGCGACAAGAGGGCAAATAATCCGGAACAAAGCCTGAACTTTTAGTGATGAATAATGATAGATTTGGTGGGGATGGTGGAGTGAGTGAATGATAATAAATTAAAAAAAAAACAAAAGTTCAATAAAACTGACGATACATTAAAGTTAAAAAACCCTTCCCCCTTGTACTATTACAGTTTTAACAAAAAAGTGAGGGAGTTTGTTACCTGAAGAATACCCGAAGACTGCTGCATTTACTGGTGAAGATGGAGTTGTTGTAGATGTAGGGTTAAGGATTGGAAGAAGAGAGCGACGGATCTGGTGAGAGGTAAGTTTCAAAAAGTACAGAGAGAGGATGAGAAAGGGACAGACAGCAGGCAGCGGAGATACGGTGGAGGAAATGGATTTCACTTTTTTCACCTTTTTAGTGTGTGTGAAACCTACAAAATCAAAATTTGATGGTTGCGATTCTGCATTATATGAAACTTAGGGTTCTTAGTTTCCCCCAAAACGCTCAAAATTTGACGATTTCCGTCTCGAATCGCGAATTTTCAATCAGGGAAGACAAGATGTAAACATGTTTAAACAGCATGGGTCTCATTATTTCCCTCCCTCCAAACTAAAAAGGGTTTTATACACCAAGTTCAATTACATTTTGGACTCTTCTGGTTGGTTCTACGTACATCTTGTATACATATATATATAAAAAATTGTCTATACGTATTAATCTATCTTATAAATTAAGAGCATCCATAACAGAGGTTCTTGACGAGTTCCACCTCTACTATGAGACCTATGCAATTAATAGCATGCTATAGTGATGAAATGATGGAATAGCGGTCCCGACCAAAATAGCCGTTCATGAATAATGGTGTATTATAGCCGTATCGTACATAACGGTTGTTGTTATCGCTATTGACCGTAATTTTGATACCAAATAGCGGCCGTCATTACGATTTTTATCTTTGGGCTCTTTTGGACTTTTTAATTTAAATTCTATATGAATTTTTGTGTTATTTATGTGGGCTACTTAAAGTCAAACTTAAACCTGCAAACAAAAAGGAAACCCGTTAAATGAACTAGAAACAGTTAAGTCAAACTTTGGTATCGATTCCAAGTCTAAAAATCTGCTCATCGATTCCAAGTCCTAAAAAATATATGGGAAGTGAGATTTTTATGACAGCTTACATTGTGGAGTTTTATTGAGCTTCTTACTCTGTTAAACTATTAATGATGTGGTAGAAAAAATATGGTAAGTAGAGGTTCCATCCCTGCGAATGCTCCAAGGGGTTTTTTGTATAAAGCTCCTATAGAAGTGAGTAAGTAACTTTTTATATCATTAAGTCACTATCAAATAATTATACATAACTAATCGAATAAGTTGTGAGTCTCACTAAGGGATCGTTTACCAAACGCTTATCCAGATAAGGGCTCACAAAGTCACATCAACTTACAGGATGAATATGGCAATAACCAAGAATCTTACCTGGTAAGAGCAAGACAAAGACCAAGGGTCTTACCCGGTAAGTGAGAACGAGGACTCTTACCACGTTTAGCGCTTACCGGGTAAATTGTTGCATACGATGCCATTTTTGTTGATTAAAATCTTACCCGGTAAGTAAGTGAATGTGTTGAATTCCACTGGTAAGCACTAACCGGGTAAGAATTTGGTAAACGGCCCCTAAGTTGATTAAGCTGTAAACAAACATGCTCTTAGTCATTTAATACTTATTAGTAAGTTGTTACAAGCGAAACAATTTTGGTTAAATATAACCTTAACAAATATCGAATAAGGTAAATGAAAGTATAAATTATTTACTCTTATCAGTAAATTTTTACTGGATATTTAGACACATAGGGGCCGTATACCAAAACTTACCCGATAAGTGTTTATCGATACAATTTAACACGGCACCGTATGCAATAATTTACATTATAAGCTCTTACCGTGGTAAGAGTAATCGCCTCACTTACCGGATAAGACTCTTAATCCTTGTCTCGTTCTTATTAGGTAAGATTTTTGATTATTATCATATTCATCCGCTAAAATAATGTGATTTGTTAATCAGTTACTCAGATAAGCGTTTGATAAACGCCAATCCAAAGATACAATAACCAATAATTCATTACAAAGTCATGAGCTATTAAGATTCTTTTTTTTAAAGGATGCCTTTTAGAAAACTTTAAAATGGAAAAACAAAAACTGAAGTGCATTTTAAAGTTACAATTTAAATATTTCATTTTTTATTATTATGAAATGTAGAATATGTTCTTTTATTGTTTATGATATATTTTAGACATGTAAATGAATAATTTTTATTATTAAACTACATAGAAAAGTAATAAATTTTCACAATTTTTTAATAAAATCTTTTGTATCATAGACATAATTAATCTTAGGGGTTGTTTGTTTACCTATTAATAGTTTCATTAAAGGCAGTTTCTGAATCGTTAAGAGGTGACTCTTGTTTGACAAAAAAAAATATGTCTCTTAATGGTTCTAAAACGTTCTGAATGATTTTGTATCATGGGTCTCTCTTAACCATTTAGTGTTCTAATTTTATCGTAAACAATTACCAAACAATTATATTTCATTTTTCACCATATCATAAGAATCTCCTAATCATTCTGTACCAAACCATTGAGCAACGGTTAAACAACCCCTTACTCATACATCATGCGTATGTATGACACAATTAATTTTACTCAAAATAATTTATATTTATTTAAGTTGTTTATAGAAATATTTTGTTTATAAAATTAACCACTCAAATACTGTGGTACATAAAATTTATTGAATGACGACAATAAATAATCAAATAGTTTCATGTACAATTTTATTACTATTAATAATAAAATGTTAAATTATTTTATAAGAAATTTAACGTTTTTTATTTCAAATGCTGAATTATTAATAGTAATAAAATGTTGAATTATTGTCGTACATTAAAAATAATATTTTTATAGGTCCAACTACATGTCCACGCCTGAAGTCAATCAATGTCCAAACCCTTTATTATAATCATAAAAAATAAACATTATATATTTTATTTTATGACCAAGATGTTGTTTACGAAACATTTATTCGGATACATATGTTTAGTAAAATTTAACATTATCACTTACTTATTAAGTAAGATTTTAATTCATCAAAATAATATCAAATGTATCAATTTACCCCGTAAACATTAACCGTGGTTAGAGTCATCACTCTCACTTATTTTGTCTTCCCTTTGTTCTGTTTTAATATATTGGCTTGCCTTAAAAAAAACTATAATTTTATTTAATGAATGATGTAAAAATGTAAGATTATAGGTATATTTTTTCTTGTGATCTCCAATTGACGTAAATGAATATTGTTACACAAACTTTGGTGTGTTACTATTCATTACACCAAGTTGATTAACATATGTTTCACATGTATTTATTTAACAATGTGAACATTTATTTATGTGTTTGTGAAACAAAAAATACAACTAAAAAGTTTCACATTATTAACTGAATACATATAAAGATGGAGGTTCAAAACATCTCTATTTTACGAGAATGCGAGAACACCTTTATCACATGTGATAATACACGTGAGGGGACATAGTGGTATGCGGAAGACGTGTTCTACGACTTAGGTCGTGCCAAAGGTTGTCTGCGTCTATGATTTAGCATCACATGTGATGGTCTTGATGAATTATAGTATCAAATCAACAACAGCCTTATCACATGTGATAATACATGTGAGGGATTTAGTGGTGTAAGGGCGCCCTGGCCCACAACCAAGATCGCGCCGAAAATCGTCCGTGTATCTGATTTAGTATCACATTGAATAATAGTATCACATGTGATTGTCTATAGTAAAATGGTGTTATCGCATTCTCGTAAATGAAAAATGTTCTCGTTTGAACTCTTCCCTACTTATAAAACAAACACACCCTGAAAATATATTTTTTAGTAAATATATTAAATTATAGCATTGGATGAAAAAAATAATATGAAATAATTTCTTACGATAATAGTGTTCATAGTTATCACGATTATTTAAGTTCTTAAATGATTAAGGCTGAGGTGCCGTTTACTCAACACTTACCCGGTAAGTGTTGATTGGGTAACTTTCCTCACCTAATGCACATGGCAAGGGCTGGAAATCTTACCCGGTAAGAGCGATGATAATGATAGAGAGTCTTACCCGGTAAGTAATGGTGAGAACTCTTACCCGGATAAGCGTTTACCGGGTAAATTGTTGCATACGATACCGTTTTAATATACTACAATCTTATCTGATAAATAGACTATGGTGTTGACAACTACCGAAAAATGCTTACCGGGTAAGTATTTAGGTAAACGAGCCTTACTCTTTATATTATAAATAGTATGATAATATGAATATACACATAATACATATAATCGACGGTGATGGTCTTCGAGGACTGCCAAACCGTGGGCCTACATTTTCCCGCCGGCCAACTCCCACCCCACCTCTGATATGCAACTTCGGCGACAAAAAATATATCTCTTTCCCTCTCTCTCAACGATATAACACTCTTCTGAGGTCTTCTCTCGCCTCTTGAGATCTTCACGAATACCCTTCTGAGTTTATACCATTGTTATCATCTCCCTCATCCTAAGATCTTCAGGAACCACCTGCATCTGAATCACGAACCAATTGGTTACAAAGGATTTTCTGAATCACGAATAAGGGTTATGAAGTTTCTGAATCACAAACCAGGGTTTCAAATCTGTTTCTTTCATCACGAACCAGGTGTAGCCCCTTCTCCCGTGTGACAAGATCTGGGTTGAAGCCCCATCACTCCTATTTATCTTCTTCAAAAGAGTTCCACTTGTTTCTGCCATAAGGTTCACCATCCCATGGTTCTTGTATCTGCATCTTCATGTGCTACAGAGTTTCAACGGTGAAATGAGAGAGAGAAAAGACAGGGTTAGCTTGATAAATGGGAGGGGAGGGGTGGTTTCGCCGATGGAGTCTTGACGGGGAATGGGAGGCGGTAGATTGTCCTAAGGAGTTTTAGAGAGAGAGAGAGAGAGGGGTTCGTGGTTGAGAGTTGTAACCACTGGACTTGCAGATGGAGGTGATCGGCCGGAGAAGAGAGACCGATGAAAAGTAACTTACGTCGGTGAAGAAAGGTCGTGGGTGAGGGTAGGGGTGAGGGTAGGCGGGTACCCGCCCTTTTTGACAGGAACCGAAACTGGAACCGGAACCGGCGGTTCTTGAGATATTAGAACCGGAACCGGTTATAACGGTTCTTAAATTTTTGGAACCGGAACCGGAACCGGTTCCTACCCGCTTCCTAAAATATTAAAAATTTGTTATTTAGAAATAAAAAATAAAACATTGCCAAAATACTAAATAAATAAGCAAGAATACAAATTATACAGAATAATTGTTACAAATATTGATTAACGATTACAAACCATAATAGAYTAATAGAAAATGTTYAAAGTTTAACGATTACATACTATAATGGTAATTGTTTAAAGTTTAACGATTACATACTATGAATCCAAGTGAACACACAATTTGAAAAAATACGAATCATTTTATATGAAGAATTTAGATGAAGATTGAAGATGACGACGTGCTTTTAAGATGTAAACCTAATATAAATTTGGTATTAAAAAAATAATAATTATTTTTTTATTGAAAAATACCGGGTACCCAGCGGATAACGGTTCCGAAAAATTGAGAATCAGAACCGGAACCATTCTCAATCGGTTCCGTATTTTAGGAACCGGAACCACTCATATCGGTTCTGGTTCTGGAACCAGCGGTTCCAAAGCGGTTCCGGTTCTATAGCCGGGTACCCGGTTCCGCTGCTCACCCCTAGGTGAGGGATCGTGTTTGTGTGTGTACATTAGAGTAAGTTACATTTTTGGTCCCCACATTACATGTTTTTTTTATTTATTACATAAAACTAGAAAGAAAAAAAAAACAGAAAAAAACTAAAATACCGTTGGATTAACGGGTTTTTTAAACGGTTATTAGGAGGTATTCAATCCGAATGTTCTTATAAACTACAATGATCATCTTATAATTTCAAAAATATAAGGACCAAACGTGTTACAAACAATAAATCAGAGGGACCAAATCTATAGTTTACTCAACAATTTATTATGTAACACCAACCTTTGATGAAGCATATGAAGGAAGAAGCAAATAAAGTGTGTACAATATGTGTTTAATTAACATGATTTTAGTGGCATCTGAAGTTACTTATTCATATGTAGTATAGTAGCATTTGATGTGTATAAAGGTACAAGTTAAATATCGATTGTTGTTTATTTTGTATGTTGAATAAACATAATGAATAATATAAATTACTATTTAATATTTATCTAGTTGAACGTAGGCATGGGAATATGCCTTGATCCATGGGGGAACCCGTATAAGGGGGAGATAATGTAATTATATAACTAAAACAGTACACTCTTAAAAATTTGTTTTTTTATAAATATAAATTTAGAGTAAACCAAAAATGTCCCTATGGTTTGTTAAAAATAACACTTTTTCATCCTTATAGTTTTAAAATTACAAGATGATCACCATAGTTTATTCAATTTGTCCCTCTTTAACTAGTCCATAAACAATTATGTTAAATGAGGGGCCTTTTCATCATTTTATCAACTTTTTTGTCTTTTTAAGTTTTAACCAATCCAAAAACCATAGGGACCAAGTCATAAATCAATTTTGATAGGGTAAAAGAGAAAAATTGATAAAAGAACAAAAATGTCTCTTATTTAACAGAAGATTTTAACGATTGTTAGAAAAAAGGACCAGATCTGAATGTCTTTGCAAAGCACGTTGGTCATCTTATAATTTTAAAACCGCAAGAATAAAAAAATATTATTTTTGATAAACGCACCAGACCAAATTTGTAGCTTAGTCATAAGTATAGACTAGTTGTGTACCCGCGCAATGCGGCGGGAGCCGTGAATTTTAACGATTTTGAAGTTTCACTGCTTTTATTAGAGAAGATTTAATGATGGTATAAGTTACGTTTGATCTTTACATGTTAATACAATTTGAACAAATAAGAGTTATTATTCCAATTACAGTCTATCGATGAAAAAAATTGTATGACATTTTAAAATCCAATATATTTAAAATCCAATATATTTAAACGACTCCACAAATGTGTTCGATTTACACCAAGAGCAAAGAATCAAGAGATCGAGAGCAATACCGAGAGTTCTAGAGCAATTGAATGAGAAAACTTTGAATAACTCATGGTGAATATCAATTTGAATCTCACCTTGAGGATGGGGAGAAGACATAGAGTTATGAGAGGGTGAATGCACGAATGAAAAGTGTCAAAAGTATCTTGAGAACATGAAAAGAGTAGGTAATAATATGCATAGGTAACTTGTATTATATGTTATTTTAATTGTAAATTAAAAGATTTTAAGACTGAATGCATAAAGTGGTAGTACTTAATGTATTATAAGTTATTTTTAAGACTTTGTACATTAAAAATTATTTTTAAGACTTTTAATAAATCTGATTTATAAGATAATATAGATTAAAAAACAAAGTTACAAGTTTGTGGGAAATACTACATCGTGGTGACCCGACCCGCCATCGAACGTATCCATAGGATTATAGGAATATGCTCCAGAACTAAAGTTAACAAATTTAGAATAATGTACAACAGTTGATGCATGATGTACGACCTAAATGAACGATTGAATTGAAGGACTACGAAATTACTGATCTGGTAATAGTATTTACCGGAATATAAATTCAGAACTATTCAGTTTTACGTCATCGTCCTTCTCACCTTTCTGATTGCAGTTACCACCCACAGTTAGAGCGTACGGGAATCGAGATCTGTTGTTTATCGATTTCATGGCTTCTTCAACAGCGGATGCCACCAATGACAAACTCGCCAATGTTCAAATCAATGAACTCTCCATCTCTGCTTCTCCGAATCTCCAGAAAAACCTTTCAATTTTCTCTCCGGACCAGGTGTGTGTGCATTCTGTTTGTTGATGTGTGTTTATGCAATGTTTTTATGGATTTGGATTTGTTGTTGTATGTGTAGGCGGAGCTTGCAAAGATGTTGCTGGTAAGGGGACAGAGTCACTTGTTTGAGGATTGGCCGGACGCTGGTGTTGATGATGATGAGAAGAAAGCTTTACTTGACCAGGTACTTAAATAGTGCGTGTGTTTGTGTGGTTTTACCAATTACTAGTTAGAAAATGTAGGATTTGGTCAGTTAGTCTGTAACCGTCGTGTTTCCAATTGCATTGTGTGTATCTCCTATTGGAGATCATACATTGAAGTGCTAATTAGATCCGCTACTGTTGAGCTGATTTGTTGCTTCCGTATTTATAAATTATGTACTTGTAAGCTGTAAGTAAATCTGGTCGAAGTTCACAGTGTTAAAAATCGTTTCTATATCTGAATAATTCTCAAATTGCTATTGTACTTTAGCAAACCTTTATCCAGATTAAAAAACCTATCTAATTAAAAAACAAAGCTATATTTCAAAATAAAGAGTTTTATACATATGTTCTTCAGAAAAATCTCGTGGCCTTCATAGATTCAAGTGTTAAATGGAGATACATCGAGAGTTAAACACTCCAAATTTATAGTGCAGCTTATCTTAAAGGAGAAACGATAATAACTGTACCTGTTTTATCTAATGGTGGGAATGAGTGTTTTCTCTGTCCGAAGTCGTTAGAAACCTTGCAGATTCCTCAACCGGACAAGTGAAGGTTTTAGTTGCTGTCATTCCAGACCATAAGATAGGAAATAACCATGACATCCACGTCATTAGTTATAAATATCTGGTGCTACTTTTGTTCACACAATGATACCAAGTCTTTTTAGTGCTGTTATTTATAAACATCCACTTGATTGATTCCTGTTAGTGCTGCTGCTTGTATATGCTTGAATGACACATGCTTAGTTTTTTTAGGTTGCTCTTCTTAATTCAAGTTATCCTGGGGGTTTAGCATCATATATCAAGACTGCCAGAGAACTCTTGGCAGATTCCAAGGCAGGAAAGAATCCATTTGATGGGTTCATACCTTCTGTAAGTTGCTACACTATCTTTTTGGACAATATATCAGTGCAAATTAGTTTTAGTTTTCTTGATTATTTACATATATAATCTTAACTCGTCATGGATTCAATTCAAAAGGGTCTGTCTACTCCTATGCCTTTTGCTTATGTGAAATCTTGTTTGTATGGTTCACTTAACAAAATTAGAACCATCCTTGTTACTCAAAGGATGGCTAGGTTGCCAGGTTCTTCTAGTATAAATGGAAGAAACATTGAAATTGTTTTGGTAACAGCAAAGGCAATCCAAACATGGTATGCAGCTTGTTAATTGCCTTCAGAAAGTGGTTTATATCTTAGGCAATAACAGACTGTTGCTTTGTCCATTTATGGAAACCATAAATATATATCGCTTATGTATTAGCTCCAGAGATTCATAGGTGCATACACATAATGATTCAGGTTCTATAGCTGATGTCACAGTCCACTCGATGTTCTAACTTTTTTGGGACCATGTAACAAGTATATTACATTTATGAGATGTGGGTCATACCCTTGGTAGAATCACATTAATTAAGACTTCCCTTCGGATGTTTATGGCTCATAATCTAAGTGCTCCTATCTCCTATTTGCCAAGTGATTTAAGTGCTAGGGAGATGTTCAATCCTTATTCAGGAAGAGGAAAATGCTTGCTGCTTTATAGAAGATTTTTGAATTTAGATTTCACTAAACTAGACGTCTTTTCTGCACTTCTAGAATTTAGTGTTTTCTGCTTCTCATGAACAACAAACTGTCTTCTGTCATAAATAATTTATTGGTGGATGATACATATATTGTTTGCTGTCAAATTACATCTCATTGGACCTACTTGTGTTGTCTTTTATTATTTGTTAGATATCGGAAAGGCCTTCGTTTATTATCAGTAATCTTTTACATCCCTTGAATTTTATTTAGGCTTTGAAGTCCATTTATGCAGGTCCCTTCAGGTGAAGTTCTGACCTTTGGTGACGATAACTTCATCAAATATGAGGAGGCTGGTGTCAGGCAAGTACAAAATGCTGCATTTGTTCTTGTCGCAGGAGGGCTTGGGGAACGTCTTGGATACAATGGAATTAAGGTTATGCCATAATATATATTCTTTCCTTCTAATCTATTGATATTTGTTTTATTAGTTTCATACCACTTGATATAATGTCATCCATCTTGCAGGTAGCACTTCCTATGGAGACAACTACAGGAACTTGTTTCTTACAACACTACATCGAGTCCATATTATGCTTATCTGAAGCTAGCTGTAGACAGGCCCAAGGTTGTTTTTCCAACAGAGCTTATATTGTGTAGTGTCGTATAGCTACATGCACTACTTTCCAGCAAAAATGGTGAACTACTGAGGAATGGACCGCATCCTACCATGGTAGCCATAGTATGTTGGGGTGGGGGTGTACTATTCCACAATTCAAATCCATGGCCTATCACTCTGATTGGCATCCTATGTATGACACATATATTTGAATTTGATATGCACTTCACTTCTTCATGAATAACTTCTCTCAAAAATGGCCATTATAAAGGAGCTAAATGGAACTTTGATAAAATTGTTTAATGTAACTATTACTACACTCCTTTTGATACAAATTATGGAAGTCAAGCATTATTGCATCAATTAAAATCTCTAGGCAACACTTTAAGAGAGAGCTCTCATTGGCAATTTGGCATAGAGGGGAATGCAATACTTTAGTCTCTTTTTATTTATATTTTATGTACTTCATTTTTATTGGGACAATAAATGGCCAAAACGAACATATTGACGGAACTGCTAAATTAGCCACATAAGTCGATGACACCAGTGCTTTTGAATTGTAGGTCAATGCCAAAGAGACGTACCTTTTGTGATAATGACTTCAGATGACACCCATGCACGCACATTGCAACTCTTAGAATCAAATGCTTATTTTGGGATGAAATCTACACAAGTAAAACTTTTAAAACAGGTAACAGCCACACATTTGGGTAATCTTTTTACTACAGTAGAACGGCAGTGTCACGTCATGCTACAATGTTTCAGGAAAAGGTTGCTTGCTTGGCTGATAATGATGCTAGGCTTGCTATAGATCCAAAAAATAAATACAGAATACAGGTGAACGTTGTGAAGTATATAAGTTGGTATCTTCGTTTGTTTATCAAATCTTACTCACCCTAAGGCTGCAAATTTTGTTTCTCTTATCAGACAAAACCTCATGGTCACGGCGATGTTCATTCACTTCTTTATTCAAGTGGCCTTCTTAGAGAATGGTAATGCAGTCCTGGTTGCTGTATGTTTACTAAATTGTTTGGTTTCTTTCTGTTTTTCTTAAAAATATATTTTTATACTGGAGGATCTCACATTCTTTTACCATGCATGTTATAATTGAGATTAAATCTGAATTTCTTTATCCATTTCAGCCATGTAACCATGACGTCCTGAAATTGTATATTTCTCTGTTTTGACTCCCATCCTCTTTATATTTTCCCTGCTCAAGTATGCACTGAAATGATATTGCTTTTCTGAGACCTCCTAAGACGGAACTTTCTATTTCATCAATCCTTCAAAAAATCTACCAATGTACTTGTTACTTATGGAATCGATTTGCTATTTTATCTAGTAATTTTTAAATACATCCATATTATTGTCCAAATATAAAAAGTAAAAGATGATTCATCTTTTGGTGTGTGAGCTCATACACTCCTATCCTAAAGTTCATCCAAGTTACGGCTTAACCGAACAATCTTTTCCAGGAAAGATGCTGGTCTGAGATGGGTGGTGTTTTTCCAAGATACGAATGGACTTCTATTCAAGGTTCATCAGAGTGATTGCTTAAATAGTTTTATATCTCAGGAAGTGTTTGAAAATGAATTTATCTTTTCTTCGTTTATCTGTTCAGGCAATTCCTGCAGCATTAGGAGTTAGTGCCACTAAAGAGTACCATGTTAATTCTCTTTCTGTTCCTCGCAAAGCCAAAGAAGCTATTGGAGGCATTACAAGGCTTACTCATGCAGATGGTACAGTTTTGTTGAGCACTAAAATATTCTCATATGCCTTACAAGTAGGTGGTTGCTATGTTAGTGTTAGCCTTGGCTTTAATATTATTTTTATATCTATGAATATTAACCTCAGGAAGAGAAATGGTGATTAATGTGGAATACAACCAATTGGATCCTCTGCTTAGAGCAACTGGTCATCCTGATGGTGATGCCAATTGTGAAACTGGCTATTCTCCATACCCCGGAAACATAAACCAAGTATGATCTCTTTCCATACATACTTGTACCTTTCACATACAAAATTGTTCTTGTATTGTTACGCAGATTATTAAAGTGATTTCCCTAATACTGACTTTGTTCCTAAGAATCTTCTTTGCCCGAGAAGTTCAGACGTTTTCATCTTGTTTGGGTTGTGGGTTTCTTTGGATTTAAATATAGCTGCATTCAGAGGGTAAATGGTCTACGTATTTAAATGCTTTTTCTGAACTCTAGAAAACTACAATGGTACGAGATTTTTGAGTTTATTTGTAGTTGTGCCAGATCTACTATAAATGGTTTACTTGTATATTCCTAGTTAAATAGATCATAAATCACCTTACTGTCCTTAGCCAAGTTGATTGTTTCGTTGTGAATTGTATAACCAATAACTTATCTAAAACCCTAAGCTGGAGGCCTCAACAAGTATACCAGTTTCAATGAACTCGTGATATTATTATGTATGTGTGGTCACTTGTCTCTGAATTCTGCTATGTTCCATTCATGGTCTTGATTTTTATGATCACACTCCATTGCAGTTAATTCTTGAGGTTGGCCCTTACATTGACGAGCTCTCAAAAACTGGTGGTGCTATAAAGGAGTTTGTTAACCCCAAGTAACTTCTTTCACAGCTCATGCATTCATTCTGTTCCCTTCTTTGATAATTCCTCTCTTCCATCTTTACAAATCTAAGAGCATGAGATCATGATAGTCCAACTTTCAGCTGAAGTGTTCGATATGAACATAGATTGTATCTGCTGATGCCAGTCTTTGCAACCTTAGTCATAAAGCGGCATGCTCATGCACTAAAGACTTTTGTTAAAGTCCTTGCAGATGATTTCATTTACTTATTTTTAAATCAGTTGTTATGAACATTGTTATTAAGTGAGGAGGAAGGAAATTTCCAATTCTCAGGAGAGGACTAGCCTTGATGACCTAAAATGGACCCGTTGAGGTGATCTGATCTACTCTTACACCCAGAAACTAGGTCCGACGATGGAAAACAAGTTCAATAATGAGCGAAACCCTCGTTTTGTGTTGCTGAGACATGCGCCTAAGGAGAAATGCTATAGGACCTGTTTTAAGAACACAACTAGCTCGAGTCCTTAGGAGACCTGTCTTTTTATGTGAGAAATATGTCACCATTAAGATTTAGTTACATGCTTCAGGAATCTCTCATCAGATAATCAGCCGACGTGTATAAGATGCCCACTCATAGAGGAGGCCCAACTGTGCAACAGTCCATGATGGATTGAGATGCATCCCACTTTCTGAACCAACCATTGAGTTGCTAAATGATTTCTCATTTGTACTTTGTTTATGACATTTGTTGACAAATTACTTCTTAAGATTTTATTAAGAACACATAAGTACTTTACATCATGACAATTAAGATTGTATGACACTGGGTTGGATGACCACCAAATTAAGTTGGTGTTGAATCATTATTACATTCCCTCCATCCAAGATATGAAAGCATTATTAAAGTGTAAGTTTTTATTCCAAGTGTATTTTGGAAAGGAGTAATATTTATCTGATTACTTTTAGAGAGCAAAAATAGGCCTGAACTGGAATTGTTTAAATGGAAATCTGAATCTACTCATTTCTTTGCTTATCAAACCATCTCTATCTTTTGGTTGACAGATACAAGGATTCAACAAAAACTGCATTCAAGTCCTCTACTAGGTTAGAATGTATGATGCAGGATTATCCTAAAACATTGCCTCCATCAGCAAGGGTTGGATTTACAGTAAGTAGAGTGATTATTTGTTAACTAATTCTAAGGTGAATTACAACAAATACGCCTCAGGCTTTGATGGGTCCTCAAGTTATTCCTCATTGCATCAAATTGCAAGATTGCGACTCTAATGCCTAACTTTATTGTTTTTAGTTGGTACCTCCATCAAATGTTTGTGTATTAATTGACATAGAGATATCTTGTGCTGTTGTGCATCACATGGTAGTTGCAACACACACCACCAACTCTGGTAATCTGCAATTGAAGTGCTAAAATCATCAACACACATCTACACCTTAAACCAACCAGCAAAGTTTCTCCATACTGTTTTTTTTTTTACATTTTTTTTTCTTTCTTTACATTTTTTACCAGCAAACATCCTGGCAGAGCTTTTTACCACACTCGTGAACATGAAGTATTATTGGTGCTTCTAAAGTACAATTCCATCAACTGCAGCTTCTAAACTTTAGCATTAGGTTTGCTCAGGACAGTTTCCTTGCCACCATAATTCTGCTACATGCTAATAATTAGTTGGACCCACTCCCAAGTCCCAAAGTTGCCACCTTTCATCATTAGACTGTAGGTCGAAACCAAAATAGAAAATTTTAATTTCACAGAGTTCATATTATAGCTAGGACAAAGGAGAAGTCAAGACAACGAATGAAAGTTTCACTTGGCATGAGAGATGAGAGCAACCTCTATCTGGCTGGTAGTTTAGGGTGGAAGATGTGAAGTATAAACTAGGGTAAAACTGGATTTTTCCCCCTGAAAGTTGGACCCTTTTAGTTCTGGTTATGAGCAGTTTGAGTAATTTATTTCTCAATTCAATGTGTTTCTAACCATCTTCTGACTTCTTAGGTGACAGATCCATGGCTTGCATATGCACCTGTGAAGAACAATCCTGACGATGCTTCAAAGGTGACTTTGGCAATAGCATAACTGATCACTGTATTCCTGAAATTAGTAAATAATTGGAAGGTTTCTTTGTATTCTATTTGAGAGAATGTTAATTTTTTATTGGCTACTTGTTTTCCAATCACTACTCTGCTTATAAGGCTGAAGCGTTTGAACTCTTTGAGTTCTCCTTTGTCCTTGATTATTGTTTTATATGAATTATAGGTACCCAAGGGAAATCCATACCACAGCGCCACTTCTGGAGAAACATCAATTTATCGATCTAATAGCATGATTCTAAGAAAGGTCAGCAAATTAAAGTCCTAGACCATATACCACTAATAAGCAATTTATGCTAAAAAACCATCCCTCCCCTTAAAACCTTATGCCAAGGAGGTTTCTGACCATAATCCAGTATCTTATGTTTTTTCCCAGGCTGGTGTGAAGGTAGATGATCCAGTTTCACAGGTATTCAATGGTCAAGAAGTGGAGGTTTGGTCTCGTGTTGTGTGGAAACCAAAGTGGGCTGTTACATTCGCCGATGTTAAAAGAAAAGTGAGTGGAAGCAGCTCTATTTCTCAGAAATCTACCTTGGTCGTCAAGGGTCGTAACATTCTTATTGAAGATCTCTCACTGGATGGAACCCTTGTTATTGATTCAGTTGATGACGCAGAGGTATATTAAACACCATTAAACATCTTATCTTAAGAATATTATGGTGATAATATCTTGCTTCTTCGTGTTTTATTATTGGTTCTTCAGGTGAAAGTGGGAGGTTCTGTGCAAAATAATGGCTGGAAAATAGAAAGTGTTGACAAAGACGATACTGCATTGCCTGAGGAAGTGAGGATCAGGGGTTTCAAAATAAACAAGGTGGAGCAGTTGGAAAAATCTTACAATGAGCCCGGGAAGCACTCCTTGAAGCCATGAGGTTGAACCTTCTGCACATTCCTTACTTCTTTCATACCCAAAATAAAGCTATTCAATTCCATTTTTGCTTATTCATTCTCGAATCATTGTCATTAACTTGATCCAGAACCCGATATGAAATTTTGTTTCCATTACGAAATGGAACTGAAATGTGATTGTTGCCAGAGTTTTATACATATTTCACAAAGAAAACAATAGACAAATTAGATAGCTTGAAAAAACAAATGTCTCACTCTGGTCTCCTCATTTTGATATTGAGAGGAGTTTCCTTGTAAGACTGGATCTTCTCAGCAGCTCTACGCGATGGCCGGCCAAATGACATTCTTTGTGATTCTTGAGAACTCCATTTTCCATCTTTTTGTTCAATCACCTTTGAAGTTGGACCATCTTCATGCATCTTGAGATCTTTTATCTCAAACAACTTCTCCTTTGGTTCATGTTCTTGTGATCTGAATCTAGCCGATTGCCTTCTCACACATTGCCTGGGTGTGAAAATGATTATTAGTGCAAGCTCATAAGCTAGAAAAATGTTCAAATGGCATTATTAATGCTAACCTTTTGTTCTCAGCTGTTTCTTTCTCAGAGACTTGTTGAACTGTAGTTAAGGGACCAGTTGCTGCACACATCACAGAGACACCAAACTAGTCAATAAGAGAACTAAAAAACCAATTATCGAATTCAGACAATCCTTTTGTTTTTTGTGGAGTATTTACATTGACTTCTCGTTGGACGCATACGTCTGTTGGTGTTTCTCTGTTTCGTATCAACATCATCATCACCTTCCTTCACCCACCAACCAAAAAAAAAAAAAATAGGTATTAGTTGATGGCTTAATGTGATGCAGAATGGGAAGAGTGTCTAGTGGTAACTGGTAGATAACAAATAAACTAAACCACCTGAGATCCACTCTTTTGGTCCTTCATCTCAATCTGGGCCTGTTAAAATCAACAGTACTCAATTAGATGCATGTTATAATTACTATCCTCAAACCCCCATCAGGTGCTTTGGGGATTCCAGAGGGTAGTTTTGGTATTTATATATATATATCTATATCATGCACCCTTCTTTATAATGGTGTTATAAGTTGAGAGGTAGGATCAAAGGAGAAGGCGAGAAGTTCCAACATCACATGTGATACAAACATGTTGCGTTGACTGGCCATAGAGTGGGCGACCTTTCCCACGACCTTTGGTCGCTTTGGCCTAGTCACCCGTGTGGACATGTTGTATTGCATGTGATTTTAATCTGTGATCATATGTGATCTTCAAAATTATTGCCTTAACGCAAATTGACCACCTTCCTGTTTGATCTTGCCTCTGAAAGGTATAATTGTTAAGTTAAAAAAGTGTTACCTGATGCTCCAACTTCATGGTTTTAAGCAAAGTATCTTTGCAGATAAGTTGATGTTGCAGTGCTTTTAGCTGTTATGAGAAAAAAGATGCATATAAGACACACACCACTATCACAATCACTACCAATTTGCAAATAGGGCATTCAGAACATCTTAATTACCTTCTGTCTACCTAAATTAAGCTCCTGCCAATCAAAAATTACACAATACACGTCAGCATTTTTTTTTTAAAAGTGTGCTACCCTCTCCCAAAATAAGTGTCTATATTTTTATTTTAGTTTGTCATTCCATTTTCAAAATTAAAGGTTGTTTACCAAATGCTTAGAGGCCGGTGTCACTTGCCTTAGTGGGTAGCATAGTAAGGACCAATAATCTTACCAGATAAATCGGTAATCTTACCCGGTAAGCGCTTACCAGGTAAAATACACTAGCTAACAATCCATGGAGTACATCAATAAGGCAAATGAAGGGCGGTGACTATTGCGGGTAAGCAGTTATCCGGTAAACATTTGGTAAACGGCTCCTAAGTGTGTACTTTCTCATTCTACCCTTAATTATGAGATGGAGAAAATCTCTCTCCATTATCAAGGGTAAAAGTGTCTTTTAGTTAATTACGAGGCGTAATAGTTACACTTCCAAAAAACGTGTACCATTTGGATTGTGGATATTTATTTTGGGGCGCAGGGAGTACAATAAATCTCATGTTCATTATGAGAAGTGCGAAAAAGGATATTGTAATGTACGAACCGCCATCATATGACTGTTTGATTGAGCAAGGTTCCAATTCTGCAACTGTGTTTTCTGAACAATAAGTCGCAGCTTCTGAAGCTCAACGCCATTCAACTCTATGGCTTTGCTGTTGTCATTTAATTCCCATTAATCTCAGAAGATTAACTTTCAATAAAAGCAAGCATAAATGACTCCAAACCATTCTACTTGGCTTTTTCATTTCAAAAAGTGCAATTTTTAGCCCCATATCGCGTGTTCTTGCAACACGTAGCGTTGCATCCTCCTAAGTTCATGGTTCTTTTTGCAACAAAAAGCCATAACAACGGTTTAAATAGCCATTAGATTGACACAAAGAGGGGAAATTTTACTTTTTGTCTGTAATAAGCTTCATCAACCCTGCATTTTCCTGTTCCATTTGATCATTAGAAAAAAAAAACCATTAGGTAAATTCAAGGTTCTAAATAACGTGAGATGTGGTGTGACGGCGAGGCCAAGCCTCAAGCCTTGAGAGCCTGGCATTTTTCAAGGCGTGACTTATGGTGTCAAATCTCTTTATCATATATAATATTACATATAAAACATATATATTCTACTATGACTCAATGAGTAGATGATATTAAACAATTTAAATTAGATTATCTGACAAGTAAGACATTAAAAAGGTAATAAAAATCAAACATCGCGTTACAAAAACCGCACATAAGGACAAGCTTAACAGGGAGTCAGCCACAAACCTTGAGCCACGACACACCAACCGAGCCTTTTAAAACACAGGTGAAATTGACCAAGCTATAGTGCAGAAGAAATATGTGTTTTTACTATGACCCAAAACCCCATTAGGTAAAATGACACTTTTGCCCATCTAATTAATCCTTAGTCTACAAACTGAAGGTTGTAATCGACTTTCAGTAAGGTTAAATCGGTCACAACATTAGAAGCAAGTTGGTGGCACTAAATCAGAAACAGTAAATCAACCTAACAACGGGTTTGAATTGCAACTGTAAACCAACATTTCAAATTACTCTGCCAGATCCAAAATCAGAAAATAAATGTTCCTAAAACAGAAACCCCAAATGGGAATTTACCTTTGAGAGATGATCAATGTACTCTTTGGTTGAAGATGGAAGCATTTGATCAAAAACCGGTGGCGATTTGGGTTGTGGCTGATAGTTTGTGATATCAGATAGCCTCTTTCTTATCGTCTTCCCGAAAGACGATCTTTTTGCCATTCTATCCCCTCTCATCGCCAGTTCTCCTTCAAACTTCAAAACCCTTGTGATCTTTTTGCAAATTTACTCCCAGGATTTGTCGTCAGTCACTTCACTCGACCAAAAAGCAGGAGATTTCTTAGGGTTTCAAAACCCTTGTTATCTAAAATAAGAAAGAGCGAATCTTTTTGCAAATTGAGTTTGAAAAGGAGAAGATAGATAGAGAGAGATAAATCGGAAGAATGTTGGATATACAAATCGGGTTTTTGAAACCCTACTTTGAAGTAAATAAGTAGATACAAATCATTTTACAAATTGGGTTTTAGGGTTTCCTCTGAACAGGACCAGAAATTGGGATGAAAGAAGAGAGAATTGAAGAACCCTAAATCGGAAATTGGGGTTTCTTAGGGTTTTGAACTGTTTTATGTTAAAGAAATTGTGACAGAGAAGATCGATTCTCTGCAAGATTTTGAATGGGAAATGGGCGAAAACGAAGAAAGCTTCGATGAGGGACCAAAAGGAGAGAAGATGGGATTCAAAGAGGAAAAAAGAAAGAAAAAGGTTAGTTTTAAAAGAGCTTCGGATACCAAACGGCTATCCGATCCTATTTTGAACTTTGGAGGTGAATTTCATTTAGATCCCCTGATATTTAGCCTAAATGCATATACAGTTACGGTTTTATTACGAGTTTTAAATAATATTATAAATGGTGTGAGACGTGACATGTATGGCCCAGTGACGAGGTCAAGTCTCCAGGCTTATGGGTTACGATGAGGTCACAATGTTTTTCGAAACGTGTCCTAAGACGGCATATGTATACGTATATGTATGTATAAATATACTAGTGCGTGTTAATGTTTGAATTATCTCGTACAACAATTTAAATTTATATAAAATTGTAAAACTAAAAATGAAAAAAAAAAATTATTTATATCAAATATATCGAGCTTATAAGAAAATGATATCGATAGAGTAAAATCAAGATTAAATTTTTTGAGTCTCTACTCACTATTTTTTTCCATCTTTAAAGAATTCATGTTTGACTCACTGTGTACTTTAGGGATTTGGTTTTATGTTTCCTTTTTAATATTTATTTAAGTTTTAGTTATCGTATATAATTATCCTTCAAATTATATATTAAAAAAGTAATTAAAAAACATGTCTTGTAAAATAATGTGTCATAACATGTCATGACACGTCATAACATGTTACAGTGGTCGTAGCAAAGATGTATATTCTTTTAAAAAATCATCTAGAACTATACAATTACTAAGTTTTTATACTTGTTATGAAGAAAATGTAATCAAATATAGGTAACCAATGGATTATTCGCAATCTAGACTGGTCTTCAATTAAAAAAAAATAGGAACTGGATATAACTAGTTAGACAAGTTTCATAATTGTTTTTTTTTAATATATCAACTATTTCTTTTGGTTTTTTTTATTTCTTTAATAATATAATTTTTTTTAATGTTATTTACTCTAATCAAATAATATTTTACTTATTTCATTATAATAAAGTGTGGGTCAAGGTAAAACCCAAAAAGAAAAAAATTAAACAACACATTTATCTGTAAGGTATGCACATATAAGTAACTGAAAATGTTTTCTGGTTTTAATACACATATGCATACCATACAAATTACTTGTATAAGCATAAACAGACCATACAGATAAATAATTACTAGGTTGTTATTTAGATTTTAACATGTTTCCCCTAAACCTACCCTTAACTATAAATACATAAAAGAACCATAATTTACCCTGTAAAACGTTTCAAGACAAACAAATCATACTTGCATCACGTCAGACGTCACATTACATAATAATTCAGCAAAAGGCTAATTTTGTATGTATATTTTGTGGCTAAGTTATGCAAAAATACAAATAAGATTTCGTTTAAGATCGAGTATTATAACGTATACATTTACTACATACGAAAGTAAATCGACCATTACTACCCTCGACCCCTTCTCTAAACACGATCTGACTGATTAACCAAAAGTATGCATTAACGTGACTAAACCTTAACTGTTATGATTTGTCCGTGGCTCCTTGAAGAAGATAAGAAGCTTTACTTCGAACCTGCATTGTTGTACATAACATCAAATAGATATTTCATTATTAAAACCAAACAAACCCAAGAAGTCTCGACTCTTCTGAAGGATAAGATGTACACAGACCTTACATTTACCCCAAAGGGTAAAAAGGTCATTTCTGCAAAGACCCCAGTTGGTAACAAGTTTTATTTTGCCTCGTATTTTTTAAAACCATGGAGTAAGAGAGCTACCTTTGACGCGTAAGATCTAGTGTCTGTGATGTTGATTTGGCAAGAACAGTTCCGGAGATACAGACCCCACATTTCGTTCAACAACGGTTTGTCTTTCAGTGTAGGGTTATATAAGAACCAGTTTTCAGTCAACACCAAATAAATGTAGATTTTGAAAAGATCACAACTTTTGTCTTTCAAATTGATCAAGGTCAGTTGCCTTATGACATCTTCTTCATCCTCTACCTACAACCAGGTGGGGCAGAAATGTAAATCTAACATGTCTATTCTTATAAGAGTATTTCCAACTACAACAAAATTGGTTTTATAGGATGTCAAATATGCCTAAATGTCGTAAGTTTATAAACTTAAGTCCTATAAAGCAGTTTGTTAAAACATTTAGGGGTTGTTTGATTGGTTTTCCATTAAGTCTTGTATGAATAAAGCTGTTTGTGTGTGGGAGGGTTTTTTTATAGATGGAAGGAGCGTGTTTTTTATTAGAAGGTGCATGTTTGGGAAAAACTTGGCTTTCTGCATAAAAGTCCCCCCTAAAAGCTTACCAAATAAGCCATTCTCTATATCATTAAGCCACTACCAAACAATCATGTATAGATGTGCGAGTCCCATTAAGCTCATTAAGCTGCTAACAAAAATGCCCTTGGACATATTTTGCATTCTATTGTTGTAGTGTTCGTTCTTATCAATTATAATGCCAGAAGAACAATATAGTTTAAAACTACCAATTATGAACAAACAATGAAGATGCAAGAAGTGATTAAAAACAGTCAAGAGATGAGAGTTTTTCGCTAAATAGATAATCCCCTTGCATTTCAAAATAAGTGCTCACATTTTTATTTTAGTTCGTTCCAAAATAAACGTCCCCTTTTAAAAGTAAGTGCCTAGTTTCAAATTCTACCCTTAATTATGAGATGAATAAATTCATTACCCCCTCTATTATTCAGGGTAAAATTGTCGATAAATTCATTACCCACTCTATTATTAAGGGTAAAATTGTCATCCAGTTAACCCAAAAGTGTAATAATTGCACATTTCTAAAACTGTCTTTTTCATCGTGGACATTTACTTTGGGACAGTGGGAGTTACACAGTTACTTGCTTCATTGATTCTACACTGTCACATTGATAGAAAATTGAAATGCAGGATGTACCTTATCAAAATAACCAAGAAGTATTTGGAAAGCAATTGCACTTCTGAGATGCTTGGTGTGCCCACAAACTGCTTGGATACAGTCAACGGCTCTCAGGCTGTTGATATCGTAAGGAACCCTGTTTTCAGACAACCAAGAAGGATATATAATGAGAAATGTTTCAAAAGAAACAAAAGAATGAGAAGGATAGGGCTGAATGAAAACCTCAAGGCAACAGATTTTGCTACTTTCGCACAGCTGGAACTCCATTCGTCATCCGTGAAGAAATTAACTAAAGATAGCATACATTCATTCAGATCAACAGACAGACCTAGTAGCTGTCGATCTAACAAGAGACAGATTATAACAACTACCAACTCTTCAGCTTCCGATGTGGAGAAAATAAAATGCGTTTTCCTACAAACGACAAGCATATAGCATATCAAAATGTGCAAAATGCAAAAAATTTGAATGTTCATGTAACTGTTTACAGAATCCAGATGCTTGTAGTTTGCACAAACCTTGCTTGGCTACAAGCAGCTACAAACTTGATCCATGCTACAATATTTTGAGTTGATTCCGTGCATTCAGAATCTGAAAATAGCATCAAGAAGTTAACTAACAATTCCACTTTCCAGTTGACGGAAAGTAAATTTCCTGAAAACAAAAACCCCACAATAATCATACAACTTGGCGAAAAGTGATTTTTTAAAAGACCATGACTTCAAAATGACATCCAAGAAAAAGAAATATCACGTTTCATTTTAGAACCCTAGGTTTTCTTTTAGCAATCTGTAATCATTCAACTTCGTCGTCATTAACAACTTGCCAAAATCTTTCAGAAGACCGATATTTAGAAATATATGGAAGCATAGTGTTAACATTACCTCCAAGGATCATTTCAGCATCGGAAGAATCTTCCAAAGGTGAATGCAATAAGAAGCCATAGGTTTCAAGAGCACCTTTAAGTTCTGAAAAGCTTGGTAGCCAGTCAATCTTTAAGAACAGTAACTCGTCCTGATTAAGCCATGACATCAAGTTAAAAAAGTAACGACCATATAGCTAGAGGACACAGAACAAAAAATTGATCCATGAAAACAACAGCGGTTTCACACAATCCTAAATCATAGAGACACCTCATTTTTTGGCAACAAAATAGCACACCAAAAGTTGACTGCAGCAGTTCTGAGCACTTCCTTTGATGAGTATAACACTGTAAACCCAGATACCATGGAATCAGCAAAATGTCTGATTATAATTTAACAAATATTATGAGATGGACAACATACTCAAGTGAAAGGTCCATGTTGCTATGGGTTTCTCTACTTCGCCACATTTGTAGACCAATTTCAGTAGCCAGCCATTGGTCAACAAACCTTCAAAGAACATTTCTCCTGCAAGAAGAAAATGCAATCCAATGAACTGAATTGATGTTCTCCAAGGACCATTTTATAAACTATCAACGTTTATATTATGACCCAAGATAGTGTGATATCATAAACAGGTCTTCGGATTATGAAAGCAATATGGAAAAATACTATGAACCCAAGAGATGCCACGTGAATAGCTGCTTCTAAAATAAACTGTACCTGATTCAGTACTAAGCTCAATCAGTGAATTCACTCCATGGCCCATGAAAGAACGAAAAAGAAAGCAACTTGGAAGATTGCTAAATACAAATGACGGCGGGGATTTCTGTAAGTTGCATGGGAATCAATGCGTTATAATATGCTTACACACAAGGAGTGTTACTGACAAATAGTTGGTCAAAGTGTGTAAACCTTGTTTCCGAAAACTTTAAGACCCCAAATGGATACATCATCCTCATCGCTAAGTTGAGTCATCTACAAGAAACAGCTCATTAGGGTACACAAATACGACTGATATTGATGAAAAAACAGAGATAATACAGGAAGAAAGTGAGAGCAAGATGTGTGCCTTCTCGTGACATTCGTCAACATATTTAGACAATTTAGCAACTCTACCATCCTCTTCATCATCAGAGTTATAAGTCTTTTTAATCTTAGCCAATTTTGATTTCCTCTCAATTACCCTATTCTTCTCCTTGTAATGATCCACCAGTAAATCATCCAGACCAATCACTTTTCTCCTGCCAGATTACATAAAAATACATCAACAAATAACTTAATAACACCTTAACCATCCCCCAAAAGGGATATACTTTGATTCTCTGACATCAAACCTAGTACTTCTTAAATGCACAATTAATATGTATTTTGATCCACTTCTCAAGACTAAGCAAACCAGATGGTTAATTCATCATCAAATTTGGAAGTAGAAAAGACTCACATTCAACAAAGCTAGTAACTGGGAGTCCTATTACACCTAAGGCCAACTTCAATTCACCATTCGGGCTTGCCTTTGCCGTGATTGTCTCTAAATATTAGTTTTATCCAAAAATCTAGAGCTCGCATCAACCCTTAAACTTTGGTCGATAGAAACAAATAAAAATCAAAAACCCTAACAGCTCAGCTTCTCAATAGAAGTCAAAAAGTAACCGTAAGATGTTGTAAACCCTAAATTGCTAGTTTCTCCAAGTTCGTTCAATTGAGCCGATGCAAGTAAACCAGAAAGGAACATTTAGACGTTCAAAAAACACAATTGTAGGGGGCTATGTTATTATTACCGTCGATTGGGGGCGACAATGGGTGAAGTAGCGAGTAGAACATCCGACTCGAAATCGAAAGGATCTTCTTCCATCTTTTTGAATTCTTGATTTCTTTCTGATCTTCAAATGACTCGTCTACGTGAAGGAACTTGAGATCATCAAACAAGAAGCCAATTCACCCCGCCAAAATTGGGGACGAAACCTTTTTGATTTTCAATGTTATACCCAAACCCGTATACACGGATCGTGTAGTCCGGTTATTTGACCCGAAAACTAAGCAATTCGACCCGTTAACTTATTGGGCTTTTAGCCTTTGATCCAATAATATTTCATTAGTTGGGCTTTAGAATTAAACCATTTTAGTGACCCAGTTTTCGTGATATCTATGAGATCAAATTAAAGCTTTTACATTTATATTGTCGAACCTTATAGCAAAATAACATTCCTAGAAAAACCATATTAAACCTTTACGGGACAAAAAACATGAACCTCCACTTAACGGTGCTCAAAAACCCGATCAATCTAACTCAACCCAACCCAACCCAACATGAAATAACTCAACGCAATATCTAATCGAGTTGTAAAATCTTCAAACCGTAGGTATGAGATTGATAATGGGTTGCTTTTATTTGAACTCAACTCAATCTGATGAGTTCGATATCCTTTTATAAATCTTGAACTTGATATGAGAGCGCACTTTCAGTTTCCCCTTGCTATACAAGGGCCTTTAATGAATAGAAATCTCCYGCCAGCAGTCTTCTCTTCCTATCACTTCACTTCGTTCGAAAAAGATGATCTCACCGGGCCGGGCRAAGGGGAAGGAAGGGATGGGTAGTCCGGGAACAACAGCGGGAGAGGACTCGTAGCCCCCCTCTCTCCTTCTATTAATATGTACATTAAACAATTACACTATCATGTACCCTTTTCATATACATATATTTTCAATCTCTTCTTTATACATATATAAATCCTCTATATAACTAGATCCTTTGTAAATATATAAGTAAATAAATTAATTGAGAAAATTAATTGAATGTGATATACTTAAGATTTAAGAAATATGGATAAATTGTACTAAATGGCTAGTGATGAAAAAGAAACTGTGAACAGACTATAGAAAACAACGTATTCAAGATTAAGAAAATATTTTAATGTACCAAAATATCAGTCCGACCAACCCGTACGGTTTGGGTTGGGTTGAGATTTTCCAAACTGCTAGCATTGAATTGGGTTGTTCAAATGTCTTCAACCCGATCAACCAAACTCATGAGCACCCCTACTTGCATGTACACATGCGCACACATTAGATTTGGTAAAACGGCCCATTATTTTGTAAAAGATCGCAGTATTGTGAAACACATATTGACTTTATGGTTAGTCTATATCACATGCACAACATTGCCCACAACAATATCTATCTATCTATCTATCTATCTATCTATCTATCTCATGTATATAGAACGAGAGATATTGAGATAGATAGATAGATAATTTGTCAGACGCTGTTTAATTGTTGTCTAAAGGGTGTGAAATGTTCATTGATAGTCATTTAATTCTTAGTTTTTATTAAAAACGAGTTCATTGATGGTTGGTGGTTGTCGAGGGAACCCTCAACGACACTTGTTACTTTTCATGAACGAAATAGTTATATGTACATTTCATATTTTATAACTCAAACTAATTGAATTATTATTGAAAACTTCTTAAACCGTGTTTCTTAGATATTATAAGTAAAAAACAAAAATGCCTACGTGTGGTTCTACCCTAACACGTCTCATGTGTTTTGTTGCATGTGCTCGTGTTTTTATTCTTCTATACACAAAAACCTCCTTATTTGGATCCGAAATTTTTACTTAAGCAATTATAGTTTACCGTCCCGTTATAGATTTGAATATAATTTTCATGTTTGAATTTTGAATACCGTATTATTGGATAATTTATCAACGATACATTAAGCGGATATTCGAAAGTTACTGACCGCTTTAATGACATATATGATTTATTCGGTGAGTTATATATTAGTGTTTATTTGTAGCTTATTCATTAATCTCGTGACTTGTTCAGTCTGCAAAAAGTGTTATGGTTGTTTCAAGCAGATTAAGATTTTGTTCAAATTATTTCAAAATCAGATATGTTTGTACTTTTTGAAACATTTGTTTAATGACAAAAAACAACAAAGATGTAATATAAATATTTGTGTCATTAAGACAGCTTATTCAGTGTACAGACAAAGCTCTAAGTTGGTTTATATATAGCTTAATGAAAAATACAACCAAAGAGTATGAACAAATGGGTAAGCTTTGGAGTTTGTTTGTGAAAGGTTAATGGCAAGAATATGCCTACACATGGGGACATGAGTCACATGAGGGCTAATAATTCAATAGACCTGACCATGTCATGTGGTTTCACAGCTCATATGAGTTTGAGTGGGGTCAATGGCTTTGCATAAGTCTCACTTTAGGCCCCCCTTTATGGGTATGGGGTACCCCCAGTGCCCCCACATTTGTGCTACTCTTGGGAATAGGTCACAAACACCCTACATGACTTGCCCCCATTCTATATTTATTGAAAAAGTGTATGTGGAATGTTGAGAACAAAATGTTTGATAAAAACAGGGCTACCCACCAAAAGGAATGAAATAATTGGCCAAATGAGACAATCACAAGGTCCCTTTTGTGTTTTCTTCTACCATTTTTGAAGTGATTTATCATAATTGGATTAATATTGTGGAAATAAGTACTGGTTCGATTTTCATTGAACTGTGTTGTGTTAAAAAACCAGGTCAAAAACTAGTCATCTTTTTGGGATAACATTGCTTAAGTCCGTCGAAGCTAACCACTTGAGTTGTGATGCACTGGTTAAGGCTTAAGGGGATGTAATGGAAATTTCATCTTTTTCAGTTCGAATCCAGGCGTTGTCATAGTCTTTTTGGCCATGAAAGTTCAGTTGTGATGACTCTAGGTCATTTGTGGTTAGATGAAAATTAGTCAATATGTGTAAATTGACTCGAAAACTCGCCTTTAGCGAAACATGTTAGCTTATCTTGTGAATTTTTTTTTGATTGATATGGTTTACTTATTCAAACGCTAAATGATATCCCCAAAGTCGCTACTTGTAAATCTTGACATAATAACACATTACAGTGAAATGTGACAAATTGGAAATCGAAATTAAATCAAACGTAAGTTCGGTTTACTGTCCGAAAAACCATAAATAACCATTCAAACAAAAAAAAAAGGAAAAATTAGCTACTTAAATTATAAAAAAAAAAATAACAATAAAAGGCAAAAGTTTTAAAAGAGACGTGAAAAGGACAAAGTAACTCTTCCTACATTGTTGGTTTTAAAGGATGAATATATCAGCTTTTTATGGTCCAAAAAACAATCAAACATATAATTGACAATAAGTTGTGAGACCAATTTAAGGAAAAACTGATTAGTTTGTGGTAACTGTGAGATCTAATGTGAACCACTCATTTGAAATATTTAAATATATTTCTTAAATAAGCTAAAATGGTAATATAGTAATCTATTTTTGACAACTAATCAAAATATTTAATTAAGTTTTTTAGAAAGAAATATTTAATCCAAATTAGTTACCTAGTATATCAATTACCTAATACACATCGTATTTTTAAAGATATTTGTGAATCAAAATGTATCATAGTGATAACGTTCGTAAATGCTTCATGTATATCACAATGTATTTTCTTTGTTTTATGAAATGTATCATAGTATGCATTTTTTGTTATTGTCATATTGCTTTACAAAAGGTATCATATTGTGCATCTTGTATGTATATATGGGTATCACATTGTGCATCTTGTATGTATATCTAGGTATCACAGTGAATATCGTTTGTAGGTATCACAATGTGTATCTTGTGTTCACATAAGATTCATCTAAATAAGTTTTGCCGAATAAGATTCATCAAAAAGAAAAAATAGGAGAGATGAGAGAGGATATATATAAAATCTCTAAAAATGCCTTTAAACATTTTAAGTTAATATTACCAAAATTATTAATTTCTTAAGTTAACTTTGATTTATGATTGATATTAGATATTACGATTACCATAAACAAAACAGTTCTTATTTGAATGCTTTTATATATATATATATATATATATATATATATATATATATAAATAAATGTGGATATGTAGATTTATGTCCATGTCAGTACCTAAATGAATGTGTTGGATGAATGAATAAGGTTAATAGTTGCTTAACCTTTAAGACAGATATATTGTTTTTGCTTAAATTAATCATTTCCTAATTCCTAGTATTAACAATAACTGATTTTTAATCTCATTAAATAAGTATTCCTATCTAATATATATATATATATATTAACTAAATTACAAGACAAATAACGTTATAATCTATATATTAATATTAATATTAATATTAATAAAAAGAATATAGAAAAGTGAATTTACGTAAATCATAAGAACATGGGACTCTTTAATAAATAAATAATTTAATTATTGGTTCCACACATTCACATCACACCTCTCATTTTCCAATCAACACCCCCCAAAGGATAACACTTGCACTTTTATTAATAATAATATAATAATATCATCATCACCCACCAGACCAACTCATCTCTCAATTATTGCCCTTTTTTTTACAACTTTCCATCCACTTCCTCATTTATAATAAACCTCTATCGGTTAATATCGCATGGTATCATGGTATCATGGTTTTTTTTTTCTTTTTAAATATCATATATCAGTTAATTATAATTGATATGTAAAATTTTATATCATGTATTAATCAGTTTGATAACAATTAAGTTGATACCAACTTTGATTTAGATGCAATAAAATTATTGAGTATCCAAACAAAATCTTGATATATATTGTACCTCTTATTATAGTATATATATATATATATAAGCATTCAAATAATTTCATATAACACAACGATTTATTAATAGTCTAATACAAATGGCCATTGAAGCGATGATGGACTGTAGACGTGTGGACGAGTTACTAAGATTGTTAGAGTTAGACGAATGAATTCAATCAAGTTCTATCTGTTCATTCATATCATAATCTAGCGAAATTAAAAATAAGAACGTTTAAGATTTAAAGTCAAAATATGTTGTATTATACCGAAATTTAATTAATAAAAAAAATAAGTTGATATGATATTATCGTGGTACACGACTTCTAATACCACATAACAATCAAGTTTAGATAGTTGGTACGGTGTTATCAATCAATTAAGTTGATACAATATCAATTAAATTGATACAATATCAATTAAATTGGTACAGTTGGTAAATTGATATAGTTGGTATAAGAATTGGTTGATTTGTGATGGTATAAAATTGACACCCTTAAACTTGGGTGTGGTTTGATTTGTAGGATTTACTTAGACTTAGAGGTATTTGAAATTAATTTTTATTCTAATCTCATGTTTGATTTATATCTTTTTTTGGATTTAAATGAAATATGATAAATATAGAATTTTGAAATCTTATGAGGTGATTGGTATTTCTCATGATTTTGTAGGATTTGTATGTAATAATTTTTAAAATATATTAAAAACACTTATTTTGTAATTATCAACTGATAAAAAGGTAATTTAGTTATTTTTATAATTATGTTTTCATAAATTATTTATCAAAAATGAAATCCAAATAAATTCCAAATCCTAAAAATCAAATATATTAAATTATTTATAAAGATCACAAAATTTTCCAATTCCAAATCTTTTCACAAAACCCAATCTTTCAAAACCATTTTGTCAAACTAAACGCCCCAATTAGCGAGTGATGTGACATTCAACTCAGTATTATTTGTTATTCAACTCAATTTCATTCCATCACTCGCTACATCAGCATGATAATCGATTAATGGTTCAATTGGTTATCCGGGTACTTAAATGTTTAAAACTTTACATCTTAGGTACAAAAATGTATGTTTTAAAAGTATGTTATCCAAAATATAAACCAAATTAAAATACATTACGTTTTCATGCAATTTGTCCATTAAGAAATGCATTATATTTCTAATACAATTAATGGAATGTAATATGTAACTTTATAAAATCATTATTGTTATTAAATAAATTACTAAACTTCTTTATATGATTTATTATATTGTCTTAAACCTTAAAACAAAATTTTAAAATATAAAAAAATCTAAAAAAATTAATATTTTAATATAATTTGCTATTTATTGATAAACCTAACTCTTACAAAACTGATAAAAGAGAAGACCCACCAGAACCCTTTTCAATGCTTCCATATGAAAATTACTGTTTAGGCACAGAGTACAACTCATCAGGCACATTTAAGATACCCAGGTTGGAGGGCAATTTAGTCATTTCACATTCAACGGTCTTTTTGCAAAACCAAGATGAACCTCCATTGATGATGATGATCTTGAAAGCAGCATTCTTCTCGACCACCATTGTTTAATGTTTGGATGAATTACTATTTATATATATATAAATATCTTGCAATTAATTTGCAGTTTTTTTATATTGGAACGAAAACGGTCTTCCAACAAACCCACCATCATCATCGATTTTGTGTTTTCGTGATCTCTACTTCTTCTTCAACCACAAATGAAAGCTTCGTCTCAACCGATTTGAAGAACATCCATCAAACTTTCTTCATGATTATTTAAGGATCTAATACATATTCTTCTTCAATGGTGGAGCAGTATAGATCCACCAAGAATCACAGGAAGGAGTTCTACGTAAGCATGAAGCTTTTTCGAACCAGAAATGGGAAACCAGAAAAACCTTTTTGCTTTAGATACTTCAAATGGCTTCTATGGTTTTCCCTCTCCTTCTACTTCTTCGCTAGATTTTTAAGCAATCATCAACCCAGTACAACTAAATTGAAAACAGCGATAATTTCTCACTCTCAATCCAACGTTGTTTCTCGTGCTCTTTCGGAATCAATTCTTCAACACCCCAGAAATAATCGAGGTTTGAATTGAATCTAGCCAGCTTGAATCGTCAATTCGATTAGGAAGTTTTTGTGGGGTTGATTTGATTTGATTTAATTTGCAGGTTTGTTGAAGGATTTGAAGGTGTATATATACGAACTTCCGGCGAAATACAACGCCGATTGGCTGTCAAACGAGCGGTGTAGCAACCATTTATTCGCTTCTGAGGTGGCGATTCATAAAGCATTGATGAAAAGCGATGTTCGGACGTTTGACCCATCGGAGGCGGACTTCTTCTTCGTCCCCGTTTACGTTTCCTGCAACTTCAGCACCGTTAATGGGTTTCCCGCCATCGGACATGCACGTGCCCTTTTATCCTCTGCCGTTGACTTCATCTCGTCGGAGTTACCGTTCTGGAAACGGAGCAATGGGTCCGACCATGTCTTCGTAGCTTCTCACGACTACGGAGCTTGTTTTCATGCCATGGTAGTACGAACAAATGCAGAAGTTTTAACGAATTCATTTGCTTAATCTTAAGTTGATTATATATTTTTTAATCCACAAAATTTTCAACAAATTAGGAGGATCGAGCTGTTGCTGATGGGATACCGGAATTCATGAAGAATTCGATTATATTACAGACGTTCGGCGTTAAATATCTACACCCATGTCAAGATGTTGAAAATATCGTCATCCCACCGTACATCTCGCCGGAAAACGTTCAGTCAACCCTGTCAAACTCGCCGATTGATGGTCGCCGTGACATTTTCGTGTTCTTCCGAGGGAAAATGGAAGTTCATCCGAAGAACGTCAGCGGACGTTTCTACAGCAAGTAATTAATAACAAATTCTCGATTCGACGTTTTACAATGTTGATGAAATTATTCCTAACAGTCATCGGAAATTGTTATGCAGGCGTGTGAGGACGGAGATACTCCGGAAGTACGGGAATGACCGGAGGTTTTATCTGAAGCGACATCGTTTTTCCGGTTATCAATCGGAAATTGTACGATCGGTGTTCTGCTTGTGTCCGCTAGGGTGGGCACCATGGAGTCCTAGGTTGGTCGAATCGGTGGCTCTGGGTTGCGTTCCGGTAATAATAGCTGACGGAATCCGTTTGCCGTTTGAATCCACCGTGCCATGGCCGGAGATATCTTTAACGGTGAAGGAGAAAGACGTAGCCAAACTCGGCGGCATACTTGATTACGTGGCGGCCACGAACCTCTCGTCGATCCAGCGAAATTTGTGGGACCATAAACTCCGGCGGGCCCTTCTTTTTCACGACGACATGGAAATCGGTGATGCGACATGGGAGGTCCTAGTTGCGTTATCCATGAAACTCGGTAGGTCTTATCGGAGGTCGAGGCTTTCCAGCGAATAAACGGTGGACACGTTGCAATTTTTTGATTGGAAAAGTCGTATGCCAGCTGTTTTTGTTGTATTCCAACGTGGCATTTATCTCTGGTACCTATGTCTGACTATAGGGCTGAATTGGCAAGTGGTGATAGGTGGGGCTGAATGTTTGGTGGGGCCAGACTGGTGATATGTGAACTTGGGTGGGATAGGGTGGAGTGGTCCTTACGGTTGATAAGATAGACCTACCTGTTATTGAGGTGTTTGATCATTGTTACTCTTTAACCCCTTTGGGTATTAGATATGGACATTTAGGCCCCTGTAAAATATAGGAATAGCTATTTTTGAGAAATGAAATACACAGAATCTAGTGCACGCATTTTTAGTCAGATGAGTTATTGAGTTTTGGAATTGTTGTATTGATTTGTGTTGAAGCAAGCTATAATTATTTCATGTAAATTGCAAGAAAATACAATTATATTTTAAAATCAAATCAAATAAATCATATAAAATCAGATATCTCATATATAAATCAGATACTTAAGTATTTAAGATTTCATATATGATATACCGACACGAGTTTTTGAAAATACAATATATAAAATAACAATCATACCAAAATATATTACATTTTTAGTACAAATTGTTTTAACAAAATTCAATTATAATAATTTTGTTAATCTTTTTATTTTTTGAGGAAATAACCAATTACAATTGTTTCTATTTAGAATTTAATAGCCCTTATAAAATCATTTACTTTTAATATTTTTTATAAAATTATAAAATATTGAAGAAGGTCAATTAATTATACGCAACTTGATTGGTGTACTTGGTAAATGGCAGGAACTATAGGGGGTAAAGTTGTTATTTAAAAAACGATGAGGGCGTGTTAGAAACAAATGGAACTATAATGGCGGGAAAGATAGGGGTTGAAGTTGGAAGGTTTGGAAATGAAAGGGGCTAGTGGGTGCAAATGGAATTTTGTAAGGATTGGTGTTGTTGGAAAACGAGGGGGGATCACGTGAGTTAAAACAAGCGTGTCAGAAGTCAGACGTTATAAATTACAGAAATAAAGTGGTGTGTTGGTTTTCAACGGTCACGGCTTCTTGATGTTCGGATTAAATGCCAACGTATTAATCATAAATTCAGAATAGATTACAGAAATCGTGGTTTTTTTATATGTATATTCAACCAGTTAAAAGAGCCGATTAATTCTAGTTGGTCACCTGTTTTGCAAGTAGCTTAAAGTAATCGCGTTTGAACCTTCGTGGTCATAAGAAGATTTTTTTTCCTCTTTAGATTCGAATATATGACCTCAAAACACTTTTGATTTTTGGAGTCCAGGGTTAAACCAATTGGGGACCACCCTTTTGGCTAGTAGCTATGTTCTTTCAATTCTTTTTATTGATTTAGGGAAAGTTTTCTTCAATAGTTTTTTTTTTTTTTTGAAGTATTTAATATTTATATATGACAAATATAATAAATAAACTCACACACTTTCTTCCATCTTTGGTGATATTTGAACCCCTGATCTTCTAGGAGGCCAATGATTACGATACCGCTAGGCCGAAGACCAAAGTTATGTTAAACTTTTCTTTGAAATCGATAGTATATAACAGGAGAAATCTCTGAATTTATAAGAACAACAAACATATATAACAGATTTGTTGAAGATGGTTTAAAACAAAAGTTTTTGTCGTTCAAACGATAATGATAAGTGTAACAGTAACTTTGTTGTTTGTATTATGTTAAGGCTTTCGTTTCTAGTTGTTAAGTACGTTAGCTGATGTTATTAAATGCCTCTCTTGTGCAAGCTGTACTAGGATATTTTGGTCATTTTGCTTGTTTGTAACACTTTAGTCTATAAAAACAACACTTGAGACTTATAAAGAGCTCACAAATTTAATTATTTATACATGTCAAAACGAGTTGTTACAAATTCCCCCATTTAAACTCCTAACGTCCTCGTCAGACATGCCCATAATCTTTCACCTTATTATCGGCAATGTAAAATTCATCTAAAATATTACAAACACCCTCTCAGTGACTCGTCATACCCGATGAGGTTTTCCCCTACCATCCTGATGGTAGAAAGGATCGACTCTAATATCATTTGTAACACCCTGAAGCCCAAAACAACAAACTAGCTCAATAACTTCGAATTCAACTTAAAATCATAGTGAAAATTATTGGCAGTTCACAAGTTAAGAGCTTATAAGGAGTTTGTAAATCTCATTTTCTATCTATACGGAACGAATTGTTACAACCACATGGATGATTTTTGTAATTCACTCTTTTATTTGCAAGTTGTTTTCAACATACCCTTTTTCTTTGTCACAAACTTGGATCATAATTAGAACAAATTTTCTATTCTTATGACCAAGAAAAGTATAATTAAGAACAGTTTTATCAAATATTTACCCGATAATCGCTTATCGAATCACTTACCTTAAATGATATGCATATCAAGAACCCATAGTCTTATGCTTTTACCTGATAAGAGCGATGACAAGTAGAGGTGCTCATGAGTTCGGTTGATCGGGTTGAAAACATTTGAACAACCCAACCCAATACTTGAGGTTTGAAAACTCTTAACCTTACTCAAACCAAACCAAAGTGCAACTCAACTCACCCCAAACCATAACGGTTGGTCGGGTTGATACTTTGATACATTAAGGTACTTTTCTCACCTTGAATATGTTATTTCTCCACTCATAATTTTATTTCATCATCAACCATTTGATAGTGTAATTGTCTAATGTGTATATTAATATAAAATTCAACAATTATATATAAATCCAAGAAATAAAATGATATCAGGTTCATCGGGTTTAGTTGAATTCAAATAATATTAATCCAATATCAACACAATACCTACGGTTTGAAAATTTTACAACTCGATTAGACATCGGGTTGCTTCGGGTTGAGTTATTTCGCGTTGAGTTGAGTTGGATTGATCGTGTTGGTCAAGTTTTTGAGCATCCTCAATGACAAGGGCCGATAAAAAAAAACAAATTTATGAATATTTATTTAATTTTCTTAAATTATGATTTAAAAGATTGGTCGGAGATATTTAAAATAGTATTTTGATTTTATATAAATGTGTATGTCGGGACGTCCACAAGTATCCAAAGGTACACATTCAATCGACGTGTACCAAATATTATTATAACTAAGGGGGTTGCAATTTGTTACATGATATTAAATATTAAAATATTTTCTCTTATTTATTTTATATCATACTTTTTTCAATTTATTCAGATATAGTTAGAATTTTGTAAGTGTCAATTCCACAACATATAAAACGTACATATCATATTAAAAATTAAGATTCTCTCAGCCCGTTTCACAAGTCGCAGTACCAAATTCACAAGTCGTCACACCCATTTCACAATCCAGCCCACGGGAATCGTATTTAATTCAGGAAAATACACACATGTTGCAAACTCAATACTTACAAAATATTGACTGTTTTGATCTGATTGGAAAAAAGTGGACTAAAAGGTGAATGAAAATCAGCTATTTCTCTCTTTTGATCGATTTTCCTAAAAGTAATACACTGAATATTTATAATTCCATTTTTTGACCCTTTGGTTAAGTTGTTCGTGTTAGGACCCCGATTCCAAATTGGTATATAGACAATAGCTAACATTGTCTACCGTTGCGAACTTTAGGGGTTGTTTTTTATTTCTTAATAGTTTCATTAAGAGGCAACCTCTGAATCGTTAAAAGGTGAATCTTGTTTGGCAAAAAAAAGTTTGTCTCTTAATGGTTCTAAAATCATCTGAATGATTTTGTATCATGGATCTCTCTTAAAACATTAAGATTCCTAATTTCATTGTACACAATTACCAAGCAATTATATTTTATTTTGCACTATATCATGAGAGCCTCTTAATCATTCTGACCACTTAATCATTCTGCACCAAACCATTCAGCAATTACCAAACAGCCCCTTAATATTTTTTATTAAGCTTTTAGCAAATATAATGATTAATTTATAACAAAATTACGAATAAAATTGTATGCTTGTTTTTGTATTTAAATTCATATTTTCACTTGTATGAAGCCTTGATAAAGTGGGCCTGGACATATTGCAATTTTATTAATGGATAATGGGCTGGGCCTTTTTGGATGGGCTTTTTGGAAATTATTTTGGGCTTTACATTTTAGCTTGGGCTTTATAAGAAGGATCTCAACTTCCAACTTCCAAGTGGTTTGTATTTATGGAGCCTATATGTGGCTTGAGATTACACCGAAGGATACGATGGCACGAACCACCACTTCATGGTTCGTTATAAGAGAAAAAATTACGTGTATGAAGGTACCATCTTATTGTTTTTGAAACTAAAATATTAGCACAAGACTTTAATGGTGGATATGGTAATGTTCTTGACTTAAACATGGGTCCCTTCTATACAAGGACAAGAAACCAACCAGCATATCTATACAAATAACGTAAAATCTTTCTTCAGATATTTTTTAATAGTCAAATTGTATCACCACTTAAAAAAGTTTATGGGTCCTCCTCTGGTTATAAACTAAGTCAAAGTCGTTGAGTTGGAATGAGGATACAGTTCATGGACTAGAATTAGAATATCGATCTCCCCCTCTTGAATCTAAAGAAAAAGGGTAGCAACTGTGTTAAAGTTTTTCGTATTTTGGAGTCGTAAAGTAACAACAACGAGTTCAAGAGTTCAAACATTGAATCGGGGTAAACTTTTATGTGAAGCTTATGCTTTGTTGATTGATCGTTAGCGAATGATGTCATGGAATATTAGATCATTGAGTTGAATAACAAAACATGTGTATTGCTATGATGTTACATGATTAAATATTCAGTTTTGATGCATGATTAGGTGTTAACTCGATGTTTATAGGCATATATATATAGAGAGAGATTGTTTCAAATGCAACCCATTACATTTGTACAATCAATTCAACTCAATAAATTGAAATGTTTATGGAAATGATGAGAGTTCATTTATTATTATTTGAATATTTATGAAAGATGAATATAGTTCATTAATTGTGATCAATAATTTATATTAGGAAACAATCAAAATTTCTATGAAATCACATTTTCATCAAATTAAATGAACGGTTTGAGATTGAGTTGTATTGGTTATACAAATGTGATGAGTTGCATAATAACCAACCCCCCCCCCTCTCTCTCTCTCTCTATATATATATATATATAACCAACCCCCCCTCTCTCTCTCTCTCTATATATATATATATATATATATACACACACACACACACACTAGTTGTGTACCCGCGCAATGCGGCGGGAGCCATGAATTTTAACGATTTTGAAGTTTCACTGGTTTTATAAGATAAGATTTAATGATGATATAAGTTACACTTGGTCTTTACATATTAATACAATTTGAATAAATAAGAGTTATGGTTCCAATTACAGACTATCGATGAAAGAAATTGTATGACAGTTTAAAATCCAACATATTTAAACGACTCCAAAAATGTATTCGATTTACACTAAGAGCAAAGAACCAAGAAACTTGAGTTTTAAGATAAACACTGAAAACCAATAAAGAAAACTACAAATTTGACAGATCGTAAGCCATGAAAAGACAAAAAAAGATGGCAGATCATAAGCCATGAAAAGACAAAAAATATGGGTTTTAGAATCAAATTTCAACTGCTTACCCTCTTTCTTGTCCAGAAACTCAGATTAAGGTTGAATTAATACATGTATATATATATATATATATTTCAAAAAAACCCAAGAACATATTAATTCAAAACATATTATACAGTGCAGTTTGGACAGCCTAACCCCAAAATATATAATATATATATATAAATAACTATAAAAATATAAATCGTAAATATTAAAAATATTTTTTCACAGTATATATAATATATAATAATATAATTAAATCAAAAACTATGCAATATTGGACTCATTTCGAAGGTATTAACGAGATGATTATAATGGTGTAACTTGTTAAAATAAAAATGTATTTTTTAAACATGTTTTAATTGATATATGATTATGTATGTTAATTTGATAAAAGTTTAAAATGAAACATTTAAAAGTAAAAGATTTAAAGTAAATTAATTAATTAATTATAGGGGTATAAAGTGTAAATTTAAAATTACAATTTTAAAAAAATCGGTTGTGAAAGGGTGAATGTATGTCAGGGGGTGAGTGTATGTGAGAAAAAGAAGGGGTGAAAAAGTGAGTATAAAAGGTATTTTGGTCATTTAGTATTTTAAGACTTTAAGACTTTTGCTAAATTTGCTTAATAAGTAGTATAGATATATGGGGTTGGGTTCATATGAGACTAAAAGTTTTTTGTGAGACCCGTAAGACCAATTTATGTTCATTGATCAACTATATAAACTAACGATCTAATGGTCTAAAGTTGTACGGTGACAATTTTGTGATTATTGAGAAGTCTCGTGGCAATTTTGTGATCATGAATATTCAGATTATAGATCTAATCCAAGGGTTAAGAATTGGTCTTACGGGTCTCACGAAAAAACTTTGGTCTCACATGATTCCAAGTCTATATATATATATGTTAGATATATGTATTAGGAATATTTATGTGAAAAGATAATGGGTTAAATTGGTATAAATTTTAAATGGTTAGAGTTAAATATACGAAGCAACTTAAAATCAAAAACCATAGATTCGCATAGTACATATGACAGGTCAGATAAAATGTTAACATATCATATATATATAAGAAACGACGTGTAATAAATAAAAATATTACAGTTAAAAACGTATATTGAATTAAAAAAAGTGATATGAATAAAAATCAATTAAAAAAACAAAATTTATTAAAGGAGTAATAGGTTAAATTAGAAGATAATTAGTGGTTTTTATAGTCATGCAAACGTTTATGATAAAATGTCTCTTATCAACATGATATTGTTGTGATAAGATGTTGACTTGGCAACCATACTTTTGTTCTCTCTCTATATAGAGAGAGAATGGTTTCAAATACAATCCATCATATTCGTATACATAATGTAATCCAATTAATTGAGATATTTATGAAAATGATGAGAGTCCATTTATTATGATTTGAATATTTATGAAAGATAACTATGGTTGATCAATACTTTATATTAAGAAACAATCAAAACTTTTATGAAATCACATATTCATCAAATTAAATGGATGGTTGAGATTGAGTTGTATTGGTTGTACAAATGTAAAAGGTTGCATAATAGCTCACATCTCTCTCTCTCTCTCTCTCTATATATATATTTATACTATTTTATAATGCATTTGACTAAAACTCTTAAAAACTCTTAAAACTCTTAAAAACTCTTAAACCCGTTCATCCTTAAACGATTTCATCCCTATCCGATTTCATCCCATAT